CTATTCTATTTACCTTCTTTAAATCAATGATTTGAAAATAAATATTACATTATAGCGTTTCATTTTAGTTTCCCTAAATGTCGATGGTTCGATCTTCCATCCTTATAATGGTAGAACTAAAAGAAATGTCTAGATATTATCTTGGTCTATACTTTTAACTCTGATTCATTATGATTTCTATACTTTCAAAACATATATCATAGTTTCTATACTTTTAAAAAGTGACCAATTTAGTCTCTATTTGCAAAATTTTAATACAGTTTATCCACAATAGAAACCTTTTCATATAAATTTATGGTTACATTTTAAGAAACTTAGTAAGTGAAGGAAGTGTTATGCTAAAATTATAATAGAAAGAAATGAGATAAAAATATCAAAATGATCACTTTTCAAAAGTAAAAAAAAAATACAATGAATGTACGTTTCGAAAGTATATAGGTTAAAATAAACAAAAATTGAAAATACATGGACTAAAATAAACGTTTTGAAATTATATGAACAAAATAAACATAAGTAAAAAAAATTATATGGACCAAAATAATATTTAAATAAAAAAAATCACCCAAAAGGCCTTTTTTGATATAATATAAATCATGGATGTAGGAATAGGTAAAACTTGATAAATGATTATTTTAATTATTCACTTCTTTTTAATAGAAGGATTGTGACAAATGCAAAATAATCCCCCCAAAATCTTGCAATTTAGTGTTTGGCACCTAGTATCAAATGTGGATGCTTTTGTATTATTTCTTCGAATAATTAAACAAATTAGATAAATTTCTCTTTCAAAGTTTAGTCCAACTTCTTATAGAAAAACAAGTTAAGTTATATATAAAAGAAAAGTCATATTTTGACTAATAAATAATAATCTTGTAAACAAATTATTATTCAAATTATTTATGCCAATGTAAGTATAGCTTAACGGATAAATATCTATGTTTGATCCCGAGGTAGTAAGTTTGAATTTCCCATTCCAAATATTGTACTAAAAAGAAAAAATTTATTCAAATTAAATTGTCTATCAATCAAATTATTACTAAAATTATCTATACTATATTGAAAAGGTAGGATGTAGGAAAAACATTTTTGGACACGTTTGCCCTTTACTAAATATTATTACAAATATTAAATTAATTATTAATTATTAATTATCCATACTATAAATGCATGGAATATAAAAGGTTAGAATGCAAAAAGTTTTCCAACAACATAAAATTAATTTTTTCTTCAATTAAAATTCATACTAGAATTTCAAGAGTTTTAGAATTTGAAAGGCTTTTGTAACGTTTTATCCTCTACTACTATAAAAATAGGCTTTCTTCTACATGTTTTTCACAAGTTTCAATACTTTTTTATTCTTAGTTACTTCAAACATCTCTCAAAGATGATTCAATCATGAAAACATCTCAAGATATTTGTGACATATTCATCA